TATGCTAGGAAGAGAGATTACATCAATGAGAGGAATAGGTTGGGGAGAATATGTATTTAGATATATGAAAAACAACCAATTAGACATTTGTCTCATTTTGCATATACCATGGTCACAATGGTTTTTGTCAAAGAATTGAAGGCTATGGGAAAGCAAAGTGGTCTACGTGGATATTCTCGAATGAGAAAAGCTGAATTGATTACCCTACTCAGTTTGGAATACAACAAACCCCAGACTGTTAGAGAACTCAAAGCTCAAGCGAGAAACAGTGGGCTGAGAGGTTATTCTCGAATGAGAAGAGCTGAATTGATCGCTTTACTAGATAATAATGATGTTGAACATAATGATAATGATGTTGAGAATAAACAACAAGAATTAATATTTATACGCACATCCGCTGGCGTTGGTAAATATCTAAGAGGTTGGAAGATGGATATTAATTCCAACATGGATGTTAACGATATTAAGCCCAATATACCGAATATACCGAACCATATTTCCATAGCAATCAAGAAGTTATAACCGAATCCGATACTATAAACGCATCATTAGATACATCAATTCAGAGAATACAGAAAACTTTAGAACGCTGGACTAATAGAGGTTCGGGTTGGGGTGTGGATAAAATCGATAGTTTATATTTAGATATAGCAAATTATATGCCCTTCAAAGGTGGTTCTTATATAGATTTACCCCCGTATTATAAGAAGAAAAAAGCCATAATTAACGTAAAAAATAAATCCGATGACTGTTTAAGAATGATGATAAGATCTGCATTGTTCCTCGTAGATTCTAAAATTGCAAATAGACCTTCTAGCTATCCCCAAAACGATGGACTCAACTTCGATGGTATAGACGAACCTACACCAATATCACAAATTGATAAGGTGGAAAAGCAAAATAATTTAGCTGTAAATGTTTTCGGACATTCTAAAGGAATTGTTGTACACAGGATAAGCTCCGCTCCGGAACATAACCCCAGAATCAATTCATTTCTGATCGAAAAAGATGGAAAATATCATTATACATGGATAAAGAGTTTAAACAGGCTATTATACGATCAAACAAAACATAAAGAAAAGAAATATTTCTGCAAAAAATGCCTACATGGGTACAGCAGACAAGATCTATTAGAAGCGCATAAAGATGACTGTAGAGGTGTTGGACAGACTGCTATCAGGATCGATATGACTGAAGAGGGAAAAAATATATTAAAATTTTTTATTGTAATCAAATGCCAGTACCGTACATAATTTACGCCGACTTCTAAGCGCTTATAAACCCATAGAAAATACCAAACGCAATACTGATAGTAGTTTTATGTACAAAACTCAAGAACATATTCCTTGTGGGTTTGGATATATAGTCGTAAGGTATGATGGGAAAACAAACCCGCCCGTGATTTACAGAGGTCTCGATGCAGCGGGAAAGTTCCTAGAATATTTACAAAATGAAGAGAGAATAATCAGGGAAAAATTATCTTGTAAGAAACCCATGTGTATGACGAGGGATGATTGGAGGGCCTATAAGAAGTCCACGAGTTGTCATGTTTGTAATAAACCCCTGGATGGGGATTCCGTAAGAGATCATTGTCACGTCACGGGTAATTATCGGGGAGCCTCGCATAACGAGTGTAACTTGAAACTAAAAATGAATTCTCAAACAATACCCATCCCTGTTTTGTTTCATAACCTTAGGGGATACGATTCACATCTCATCATGCAAGCTATCTCAAAGACCGAGTGGCTTAACGTGCATTCCTAATAATATGGAAAAATACATATCGTTCTCGTTGACTAAACCTATACATTATAGGGACAAGGATGGGAAATCTAGAATAAAGCAAAGTAATGGGCTTAGATTCATAGACTCCGTACAGTTTCTGTATCTTCCCTGGACAATTTAGCTAATGCGAACAATCCCGATGACTTTGCGATAACAAATCAATATACCGATAAGATACCTCGTCATTTGTTGCTGAGAAAAGGTGTATATCCTTACGAATATATGGATGATTGGTCTAGATTCGAAGAAACTGAATTACCACCCCTTGAATCATTTTATAGTAACTTAACAGAATCTAAAATAATAGATGCCGATTATGAACACGCTCTGACGGTCTGGGATAAATTAGGTTGTAAGAATTTAGGCGATTATCACGATCTGTACTTAAAAACCAGTGTACTGTTACTCGCCGATATATTCGAGATATTTAGAAAGACATGTTTAAAACAATACGGCTTGGACCCGGCATGGTACTATTCCAGTCCCGGACTATCGTGGGATGCATTGTTGAAGAAGACCGGGATAGAACTAAAACTACTCACAGATTACGATATGCACTTGTTTATTGAGAAAGGATTAAGAGGTAGTATATCGATGGCAGTGAAAAGGTATTCTAAGGCTAATAATAAATTAGTGGAAGGATACGATCCGAGTAAACCCGACACGCACATATTATATCTCGACGCTAACAATTTGTACGGATGGGCTATGAGTCAACCTTTACCCACTGGTGGTTTTGAATGGGTCGATGATATCCATAATATCAATGTGAATGATATCCATAATATCCATAATAATGATGCGAATAAAGGGTACATACTAGAAGTTGACTTGGAATATCCAAATTCCTTACATAAAGACCATAACAGTTATCCGCTAGCTCCTGAAAGATTAATGGTTAATAAAGATTGGATGTCGGAATATCAACGCTCCTTGATGGGTAATAGTAGGTTAGCTAACGTAGAAAAACTCGTACCAAATTTGATGGATAAGACAAAATATATAGTTCACTACAGTAATCTCCAGTTGTATCTATCGTTAGGTATGAAACTTAAGAAAATACACAGAGTTCTAAAGTTTGATCAAAACCCTTGGATGGAGCCCTATATAAGGTTGAACACAGATTTAAGAAAGAAACTATATGAGCTCATGAATAACTCAGTATTTGGTAAAACTATGGAGAATCTAAGGAAGCGTGTTGATGTTAAATTAGTCAGATCTAATGAGGAAGAAAGACTAAGGAAACTTATAGCCAGTCCGGCTTTTAACAGAAGCAAGATATTCGATAACGACTTAGTCGTGTTGCATATGCAGAAGAGTAATATAAAATTCAACAGACCGGTGTACGTCGGTATGAGTATTCTCGACTTGTCAAAACACTTAATGTATGACTTTTATTACAACGAACTTAAAAAGCTATACGGCGATAGATGCGAGGTGTTATATACCGACACAGATTCTTTGTTGATGGAAATACATACCGAGAATGTGTATAAAGATATGGCAGAAAAAATAGATACCCAAAAGATAATCCACTGCACAGCGTAGTAAATAAAAAGGTGTTAGGTAAGATGAAGGATGAATGTGCTGGGACCCCTATAGCGGAGTATGTCGGATTAAGACCTAAGATGTATTCTATAAAGAAGTCCGATAATGGGGAGATAAGAAAAGCTAAGGGCTTTAAGAAGTATGTTGTAAAAAAGCATATCAAACAGTATAAAGAATCATTATTCAACGGTAGAACATTCAAACACGAGATGAACTCTTTAAGAAGTTACAATCATAGGATATATGGATTAAGAATGAACAAGACATCATTATCCCCCTTAGATACAAAAAGATGGATTGATAATGATGGTGTAACTACCTATGCTTATGGTTATGGTGGTAATACCGTACCGTCGGGAACTATGAACAACTCTTCTCGTACAAATGCCCTACCCGGTCCATCTTGAAGATAATAAAGAATAGGCTGTCCTTCTTTCGTAACCAATCTACTAATGTTATATGTCTTAAGAGACCAAATCGGATCGGTTGCACGACGTAGGCCTCCTTTAAATTCATCGGGCTGGTATAAATATCTTACCCTTACTCTATCCGGAAGTTTTCGTTCTTTGCCTCTCCTCGGTGCTGAAGATTCGGAAGTCACTGATTTCATTTTAATAGCATCGGATGGTTTCTTCCCTATTAATCTCGTTACTTCATTATTCAGCGCTGATACAACGGCTGATAAACGTGTCACCCATTCGGTTGATCTCAATCGTTCCGATTTCATATCGATCCCATACTGATAGCCAAACAAACGTTCCGCTAATGTCCTGTTAAATCTTTCGACGATAGCTTGACTGCGGTGGGCCTCTCTTTCACCACGCCTGATTTCGACATCGTGCTTTGTTAACAGTTTAGTTATCGATCCCATAAACTCGCGACCAGGATCTACTTGAAATAGCTTAGGCCATTTTAGCGGTCCGCGTTTATATAGCTACTTCTATTGAATCTTTCGAGGTTAATGGCTCAGCCTCTTTGTATCGACTAGCCACATCCACTACTGTTAAAGCGTATTTATACGTTTTGCGTTTTACCTTATCGTGGGGAAGAAACAAGAGGTCAGCCTGATGAACTTCATTCGTTGTAAAAATATCAAACTTCTTCCTCGGTATATAATGCGGTGCCGGTAAATATATTTGCCACATCGCTTGTTTCTTTAACCAATCCTTGGCTACATCTTTAGATACCTTAGCCGTGGTGGCTAATTTTTTTATTGCTCCTACACCTTTCCAATATCCTTGTGGGCTATAGTAAATTTTATTCATTATTAATTAATATTGATGTTTCTTTTAATACGACTCATGACTATCGTTGAATCGCATGATCATTTACACATAAAAAATTCCCCCTGTAGTAGCAGCATAGGTATATAAATCCAGCTCCAGTGGAGTTGCGGCAGAACCCCCATTATCTATACTACTATTCTGTTATGTTATTCTGACATTTTTGTTTTGTACATTGCAGCAAGCTGAAAACCTGTTTGAAATTTGGGAGGCTACAATCACAAGCTGAAATATACCGTAAACTCTTTAAGCCCTGTTTGCTCTTTCTAGCTATGATAATGTTTGTCACAGGCATGTCCAGAAGCAACTTCATGAAGTGAGTTGAACCCCAGACGAAAGTACTGTTCATCACTTAGTGAAAGAAAATGATGTTATCTATTTCAGAGAAGTGTTCAGTGAAGAACAAGATAACCACACCTAAAAAGAGTTCCTGTCTGTATGTGTGTCAGCACTGTTTAGTGCATCTGGGAGATATAGGTGAGAGTCAGCACTCATATGTTTTGTCAGTTAGGCCTCATGCATCTCTGAGATACAGGGGAGTCAACATGCAGTAAACATGTCAGTTCTATCTTGTGCATCTCTGAGATACATGGGAGTCAACATGCAGAAAACATGTCCGTTCTATCTTGTGTATCTCTGAGCTACAGGGGAGTCAACATGCAGAAAACATGTCCGTTCTATCTTGTGTATCTCTGAGCTACAGGGGAGTCAACATGCAGTAAACATGTCAGTTCTATCTTGTGTATCTCTGGGACCGCCTCCGTGGTCTTGTGGTAGAGCGTCCGCCCGGAGAGCGGAAGGTCCAGGGTTCGATCCCGGGCCGCGTCATACAAAAAGACGTTAAAAGATTGTACTTGTTGTTACCCTGTCTGGCGCTCGGCATTAAGGGACTAAAACAAGGACTGGTCGGCTCGGAGTCAGTATACTGTGTCTGAGTGGGGTATTCATGTTAAACTGCGGCATGGTATCTCAGTGAGCTAGCACTATAAATCGGCATCAGTCCGGACTAGTACAAGCAGCCACACACACACATACACGTGCATGCACGTCGCTATATAAGTGCAATAATCTTGGACGCGACGTTAAACCCAATTTCACCTCACCTTGTGTATCTCTGAGCTACAGGGGAGTCAACATGCAGTAAACATGTCCGTTCTATCTTGTGTATCTCTGAGCTACAGGGGAGTCAACATGCAGTAAACATGTCCATTCTATCTTGTGTATCTCTGAGATACAGGGGAGTCAACATGCAGTAAACATGTCCGTTCTATCTTGTGTATCTCTGAGCTACAGGGGAGTCAACATGCAGTAAACATGTCAGTTCTATCTTGTGCATCTCTCAGACACAGGGGAGTCAACATGCAGTAAACATGTCCGTTCTATCTTGTGCATCTCTGAGATACAGGGGAGTGAACATGCAGTAAACATGTCCGTTCTCTCTCGTGCATCTCTGAGATACAGGGGAGTCAACATGCAGTAAACATGTCCGTTCTATCTTGTGTATCTCTGAGATACAGGGGATTCAACATGCAGTAAACATGTCCGTTCTATCTTGTGCATCTCTGAGATACAGGGGAGTCAACATGCAGTAAACATGTCCGTTCTTTCTTGTGCATCTCTGAGATACTGGGGAGTCAACATGCAGTAAACATGTCCGTTCTATCTTTTGCATCTCTGAGATACAGGGGAGTCAACATGCAGAAAACATGTCCGTTCTATCTTGTGTATCTCTCAGACACAGGGGAGTCAACATGCAGAAAACATGTCCGTTCTATCTTGTGTATCTCTCAGACACAGGGGAGTCAACATGCAGAAAACATGTCCGTTCTATCTTGTGTATCTCTGAGCTACAGGGGAGTCAACATGCAGTAAACATGTCAGTTCTATCTTGTGTATCTCTGAGATACAGGGGAGTCAACATGCAGAAAACATGTCCGTTCTATCTTGTGTATCTCTGAGCTACAGGGGAGTCAACATGCAGTAAACATGTCAGTTCTATCTTGTGTATCTCTGAGATACAGGAGAGTCAACATTCACTAAACGTGTCAGTGCTATCTTTTTTTTCTCGAATAAAAAATGAAATAGTTTTGTAAGGAAACCGGATGATATTAAGAAAGTGACTCGTCACAGGTTGTGGTCAGCCAAGAATGAGAATGGTTTTAGGCTATGACTCAAGGGTATCTCTGATAAAAGCTACAGACATTGACCTTACAATTTGGATTCAGATTCTGTGGATGAAGTGATATAAATTGTTTTTGAAGGTTTTTGCCAATTTTCAAATCCATGCATTTAGCAAATTAATGTTCCAGCCCGGTATCGACAGCAAGTTGAACAAGCTCAAACCTTCTACAGGCATGCTGCCAATCTTGTACCACAGAATGGTATGTATACTTTTAACAAACTAATTTGTTCTTATCTAATCTGGTGTCTTTTTAGCGTCTCTGTGGGAATCAATCACAATGAAAATGAAGGGATGTTTTTCGTCATAGTGTTTGCTGAACTGAACTCAACATGCTCAACTACTGCCATTGACTTTCTCAAAAGCACATGCTTATGATAGATGTTACAGACTTGTTTCCTGATAGTATTGATGTGACATATCATAAAACTTATGTTCATTTATTTTGGAAATATGATGAAACTTATTGTGCATGATCTCCATGACAGTGATGAACATACTGATGAGATCTTTTCTTTTGGAAGATAGGAGAACTCCACCAACATTCCTATAATGTAACTTATCAGTAGCTTTGTCATCTTTATAGAAAGAAATTATAAACCATTAACCAGCGTAAGAAATTGGCACTTGTCGTATAATCCTTGCCAACTTAGTTAAGGTTTCATTAGGACTCGCAGAAATTTGTCATTATTAAGGGTTTAGCTATATGTTATCATTATAAGGACTAGTCGACTAAAACATTTAGTTTCTATTGTTGCATTAACCCAAAGGCTGCTGTGCATAATTGAGCCTCAGTACCCCCCACCAGTGTTTGAAATAATAAAATTGCCAGGCTGCCATCAGGACCCAGCAGGCCCTGACTAATCTCTTTGGGCCCTCACTTGAAGAACTGCAGCTTATTGTGGTAAATAAATTGACACGTAAATTTACTGCAGGCCATAAGCACCCATACAAATTTGTAAGTACGAGCCCGACACGAGATCTACCTGCCATTGGCCGACGGACAGGCACTTAATTTGAACACGGGCTCCGACTGCTAAACAGTTAATTAAAATAGTACTCTCTTCATTAAGTTTTATCAAATAGTTCTGAAATTCCTAAGTAATGAGATGCTCTTGCATACACCAAAACATTTCTGAATTTTAAATTCTAAACTTCAAATTATATCTCCAAATTGTCAGAAAAATTCAAATTATTTAACTTATCCTGCATTACTCATTAATGCATTTACTGCTGACAGAAAGACGAAGCTGTGAGAGTGGTTCCAACCAGTTGTGTGGCACACAGCTGACATGTGACCCGGAAGTGGTGATGACACATAAGAGCACATTACTGTCACTCAAAACAGTCAGACATGTTTATGAGAGTAAAGCCTCTACAGATTTTCCATATGTTTTCTCTTGATATTGTGTTGTTGTCTATGGTTTGTGGCTTTTTGGTATCACCCATACATAATTTGTAATGAATTTCTGCTTGTTTGTGTCTCTCAGTCACAGTAATTACGGGCGTAGTTTTGTTCTAATCCACCATTTTGAATTTGCCATGTGGCCATGCTCTCATGTCAGGCATTGTCTATTCTTTTGCTTTGTATTGGTAATTCATTCTTTTTTATTACCTATCTCTTTGTGTATGTTTAAGTTTTACTTTACACTTGTTTTGCGTAATTTTTCTCTCCTATAAACCAATGATTTTTTGAGTGACAAATTAGCATTCGTTTCCTGTTGTGTGCTTGCATGCTTTGTGAATATGACTTTACTAAAATGACAGATTGCTTGGATTACACGGACCCCTGATGTCTCAGTGCTGCTTCTGCAGTCCCCTTTGTCCGAAAGCCTTCACTCTCTACTTGAGAGCTGCCAGGAAGCGCCGGACCCTACCATGTCCGACTCCACTGAGACAACATCCATCTCAGCTATCTCGGACACGCCAGCTTCTACGACTGAGTAGCAGCCTTCCTCGACTCCTGCTCCAATCTACGCCTCTGCAACATCTCCTGTGTTTGCACCACCCATATTGACGACAACCCCCCGATGTCAACGTTGACAGCGTCTGTGCCAGTGCAATTCAGCCCTAACATGGTGCCAGTAGCGCCTGCAGCACAACCTGGATATGGATCCTTCCCTGGCCTACCTGCTGAGCAGCTTCCTTATCAGCCGATGCCACAGCATGTCCTCTTTGCCTCATCTATGGATCCTAACTGGATGCATTCTTGGATGCAGTCCTTGTTTTGACAGTCCATGGCGCCAGCGGCACAACCTGGGACTCAGACACCTCCTGCTCCAGTGTCACCTCTTGCGACGCCTCCTGCGACATCAGCACCACTGGTGGCTCTTGGTCCACCAGGGCCTCCTCTCGGCTCTCTCGCACCACTCACAGTTCCCTCAGTACTGCTGGTGTTAATTGTAACTGTATCGCCAGCAGTACTTCTGCTTCTTTCGAATTTTTGGCTGAATCTATAGTGCTCAGAGCTCATGGAGCTGTTCATCTTGGGCTGTGCTGGGATTTCATGGCCAAGAATGAACTCCCAGGCCAGCCAGATAGGTCATTCACCATCCCTCCCCTCACATTGATTGTGGGTGCAGACGATGAAGATGAACTTTCGTTATGCCCAGTGCGTGCATTGTGGTGTTTCCTCAGACGTTCTAAAGCACAACGCAATTCCAGGAAATGTCTTTCTTTTCCAGTTTCTCCTACTTCGTAGGCCGAGGTCAACCATAATAGTATCTCCTTATGGCTTGGGTGGTCATTCTCCAGGCATATGAGGCAGCACCCCCCTAAGGACGGGTTGACCATTCCTGTTGAGCCACCACCAACGGACCTAAACTCTGGATGCAAAAAAACAGTTTTCTAGAATACACTTGATAGAACCCCCAACATTATGGTTCTCTTGGACCCTTGAGCTGGCCTGTCAAACTCTCGGGTTTTATCACCCCAGATTAGAGGGCTCACATGCTGTTCGCATTAACTCGGTAAAGTCAGTTTTAGATTCTGGTTGACACTTTTCCTTTACCTTCCCATATTCTTCACACTCTCATTTTCCTTCTGACAGGAATGGTCATTGTTTTCCTGTCATCGCTCAGGATGCTGTTCTGGTTACTTGGACCTTGACAAGGATTTATTTCAGATTACATCTGAAGGTATGCCCACCTCTGTACAGTCTGATGAAGATGCATGAAGGAATAATGCAGGATAAGTTAAAAAATGTGGTAAAATCTGAATATTTTTTACATTTGTGTACTTATCCTGCATTACTTGTGCCCTCCCGTGACAATGCTACCTCCCCAAGAAGTTTCCAGATGTTAAGTTTAAGCAGTAATGTGCTCTTATGTGATGTCATCACTTCCGGGTCAATGACAGCTGTGTGAGGGTACTGCCAGACAACTGGTTGGAACAACTTCTTCTGCAGCTGGACCTCTCACAGCTTTGTCTTTCTGTAAAAAAACAGCAGTAAATGCAACCTCAGGGTATCGCAGTTCTTGTTATGTACACAAAACAGAACAAAACATACTCACTAACCTTTATGTTTATTCGTGTACTTTATATCAGATGTCATTTATTTTATCTAACTATGCATATTTTTCTGGTAAAAGTTCATTATAACATTCGTCTTGCTGAGTGAATGCCAGGCATCGCACTCAGCTTGACAAGGGAGAGAACTCCATTGTATCACGATACAGGGAAAAGTTGTGTATGGAGGTCTGAATTGGACAACAACAGGACATAATTCTAACCACCACAAAGTATGATAATACGAGACTTCAGTTATTTTATCCAGACAAGTGCAAACGAAAGCACAAGTAAAATTCAGTATGTGAAATATTTAATAGGTATAATAATTAAATTAATAACAAAATATCTGAAAGATATCCAAAAACCTTTTATTTAAAAAATTTGATGAAAATAATATGTCCAAAAAGTGGAAAAAATGTTGAAAGTTGACAATATATATCTAAAAAGCATTCCATTACCATTTGGCTACAGGTGAAGAACATATTGCTAAGCATGGCATCATGGCCCTTCTTATCTCCTAAAAAAATCTGACTACATAGTGGGAAAAATGTGTGGACTATGTCACTGCTGTTACCTTATTCGTCACCATGAATATGCAGATGATCTAGTTCAGGTCGCAATTACTTGGGAAATAGCGGGTTATATCATAGTCCATTGATATACATAAGGTATTGATATTGTTTACAAAGAAAGCACTTCCATCTGGTTACTGATTTGCATTAGTAAATGGCCTACTAGGATGCGTGTCTCGCATGAAGTACTAGAAAGTAGAAATGCCATAATACGATGAATGCCACGGTACCACAGGGTCCAAGGATGATGCAGGATAAGTATTCAAATGTAAAAGATATTTAAAGTTTACTTATTTTGTGTGTCACATCTTCAAAAATATTGGTCCATTCGTCTTAAAATCTAAAATTATGTACAGAATGTCCACAAATTGTTAGCTAAAACATTTTACGATATAATATGCATTTATCTATTCTATAATTTTTTTTTTACCTTATCCTGCATTACTACCTTAATGCCTTTACTGATGTTTTTGACTAGGACGACGGAGCTGAAGTGTTGTCCCAACCAGTTGTGTGGCATATGCCCTCCCACAGCTACCACGTGACCGGAAGTGGTGAAGTCACGTATAATCACATTACTGTACTGAACAGACGTTTGAGAATAAAGCTCCTTTGCTCCAGATAGCCTCCTTTTACTTATCTTTTGCTAACCAATACTTTGACAGTTGTATATATTATTGTCTAGTGCACTAGGGTGGTCCTTTCAGGCTTACCTTAGCGTAATTGTCGCCTGATTTTAGCTCTTTCCTGCGCTTACTTTGTACGTGTGTTGTTCCATCTGCCATCTTGTTTTGCCACGTTGTCATGTTTGCTTGTCTTGTGCTTTGATATTTACATATGCCTATCTTCGCTTTTCTTCACGTGCTATTTACATTCCTCACATTTACTGGTACATCCCCACAGTCAGTTGCCACACCCATCTCCAGACAAGTTTCGTCTGCACGCTTGGTACATCTTCACCAGGCCCTAGGTACCAAGGGCTACTCAGCCAGAGCAGCGAGGGCTATTGCCTTAGCACATAGACCTTTGACACATACTCTGTATGATGACATGTGATGTTCCTTTGAATCCTTCTGTAAGGATACGAAATAGGACCCAATATCTGCATCACCACAATTTATGGCTGAATACCTTCTCCATCTCTGCAATAAATGTCACCTCAAGGGTAGTACCATAAGAACTTATCTGGTTGCCCTTTATTTCGGTGCTGGCAGTTCCTACAGGTCCCGGAACTTCAGTCATTATTGTGGTCATTTCATCTTGAGGTTCAACGTACCAAGTTTCGTGCCACAGATTGGGACTTGAACATGGTATTGAAGTCGCTCCTTACCACTCGTCGCTTTCTTCAATCTTAACAAAAAGCCGTTATCATTCTTGGCGTCAGCTACAGTGGCTTAAGTGAGTGAGTTACTCGCCCTTGATATCTCCCAAGTACGGTTTGAGAGCAGAGCTGTACATCTTGGGCTGTGCTGGGATTTCATTGCTCAGAATCCAGTCCCAGGAGAACCACACAGATCATTCACCGTTCCTCCTTTATCGTCAATAGTGGGTCCTGAAGACAAGGATGAACTACTTCTGTGCCCAGTTCGGACCTTACAAGTTTTCCTCAGTCCATCCAAGACACAATGTGGATCTCAGAAACGACTGTTCATTCCGGTCTTGCCTACATCCCTGACGGAAGTTAGTCTTAACACTGTCTCACTGTGGCTGCATGGGCTCCATTATCCTGCAGGCTTACGGCCTCGCTAGTATGGTCCCGCCTAGAACGATAACCACCATGAGATTCGAGCCATTGCTTCGACCATGGTTCTCCACAGCAATTGTTCAATCAAATCCATCATGGAGGGTTGTTTTTGGCGCTTGATACAGACTCGATCACCATGGAACTGACCCTTCGACCTCTCTCGTAGAAATTACCCCAGACTAGAGGGTTTCATGTTTCTGTTTATTCCAGCTGCTTGAATCGGAATTTAGAAACTTGGCCTACGCTTTTTTCTACTTTTCCTTTTTCCATGACTGGATTTCACACCTCCTACTCTCTCTCGTGTGGCTGTATTGGACAGGAAAGGTGGTTTCCGTTTTTTTCCTCTCAGGGTGCTATCTGCTTACCTGGACTGGTTGGAGGGCCCATCCTGAAATTCCATCTGCAAGGTATGGCTCCCATCTGATAAAAATGCATTCAGGTAGTAATGCAGGATAAGATAAAAATTAAATAAAATCTAAATATATTTTACATTTGGATGTTTATCCTGCATTACTACGTCTACAGTGCCCACCCATCACTTTGCTACCTCCCCAAGAAGTCTGTTACTGGCGGTAATGTGATTATACGTGACTTTGCTACTTCCCGTCAGGTTGTAGCTGTGGGAGGGCATATGCCACACAACTGGTTGGGACAACAACTTCTGCAGCCAGGACCTCTCACAGCTCCTTCTTCCTTTTCAGAAACATCAGTAAAAGCATTAAGGTAGTAATGCAGAATAAATATCTAAATGTAATAAATTTATATATTTTACTAATTTTCATTAAGACATGTTCCCCAGTTTATTTGTTGAATACATCTGAAGTTTTTATTATGATAAAGGCATCATTGGGTTTTCTTTAAACATCTTCAAAATTCATGTGAAATCCTTTAAAATGTTATACACAGATTCATAGATCAATTCTAAAGGAATCAATGTACTGTATATTTTTGTCCAAACAACTTGACATGTTTTAAAAAAATACAGATAAATTTTAATGTCAAATTATCTCCAAAGCTAATACTTCTAATACAATGGTAATTGTCTCTCCTCTGTTGAAAATGGGCGTGAAATTTTCCAGTTTCCTGGGCGAACATTGTTTTGACAGACACTGCTGTTCTTGGTAGGCCTTGTGCGACTATTATCACGACACCCAGTCTAAGGGTTTGAGAAGGCTTCATTGCTGCAAATGTCTAATGGTTATGTTTAGCAGTTTTAACTAATATTCATGATATTTTATGATTCAATTTCAAGTGGCATGGGATTTCTAGTTCAAAGTTGTACTGCAAGTTGTTTCTGAAAGTGATGTTTTTTTAAGTAATTGAGAAGTTTTGCTCCTGGTACATTGACAAAGCACTAGGCCTGGCGATCGATATAGATTATAGAGATTGATAATCGCTTACTAAATATCGATCAATTATCTGAGAAGTTAACTTAAAGCAAATATGCAAAAAGTCACGAAAGAAATCAACAAATTTCTCTCCATTGGTGAGCAGTGACATATTAATGCATAGATTACTTTGTGGACATTTGAGAATTAACAAAAACAGTTGCTTTCCGTCTTCGACAATTGATATTAATGACAATAACAAGTCTGTTTCGGTAAATCTAAACTTTATTTCATCACAATATTTATGTCAACAAATCCGAACTGAAGTATGCAAATTAGCCTTTTGTTTACACTGTCTGGTTATAAAAAGTGTTCATTGTATATATATATGGACTTATGTTTGTAACCTATTTTATTAATTTTATTCAAAATTTCATTCAATATTGTTTACATTCACTTCGGCGAAATCACACAACACACCGTTATTTACAGCATCCATTTTAGCCAGCCCCACAAACTACCATAACCTGAGGAGACCCGTGAAGATCCTGGGGTAGAATAGGTCTTCAGCAACCCATACTTGCCGTAAAAGGCGACTATGCTTGTAGTAAAAGGCGACTAACGGGATCGGGTGGTCAGGCTCGCTGACTTGGTTAATACATGTCATCGATCCCAATTGCGTGGATCGATGTTCATGATATTAATCACTGGATTGTCTGGTCCAGACTCGATTATTTACAGACCGCCGTCATATACCGGTAGCTGGAATATTGCTGAGTGTGGCGTTAAACAAAAAACCAACCAACCAACCAACCATAACCTGAGGAGAAGAAAGGGGACTAGAAATATGGAGATGGATTGATGGTTCATGATAATTTGACAGTGATTTTAGAACTGAATTGGAACAATTAACATTAATACCTGAGTAATTTTCTCATACACATTATCGTTTGAAAGGTAGTATCAAACTTTTTAGCTCATCTGTCTGATAGCCAAGTAAGCACTTGTCATGCTCAGTCATCATCAGCATCATCTGTAAACATCTAGGAAAGCCCTGGACCAATGAAGCTGGAGCTTCGCATGTTTTGTTCCATCCAATTATGACACCAATGTTTTTAGATTCACACTTCCGTTAGACATTTGTTGCTGAAGACCAATTCTGAACCGGATCTTAACAGGTTGTTGATCACTGATTGCGGGAACAGGCTGGGAACTTATTGCATGTACACCAATATCATGGAACTTCAAATACCACATTGTTTTTCTGAATTACAGTTAATTAGTGTCACATAATGTTAGGAATATATGTGGAGTCTTGATCACATTTCTTCACTTAATGTCTTGTCCTGGACATAACGTTCAAGTGAAACATGCATCATGGTACTGTTATCATTACTATTTTAACGTGAAATTTTAGCGGCATTTTTACCCCACTGATTACTCCAAAGCTTCAGTAAGGGCTGGCATCTCTGTAATATACATAATGCTTTTCACAATTCAGGTGAGCTACAGAGCCTTGTGGCTCTTGTTTTTCTCCATTAAAAGTAAAGAAAGTTCCCTATCACAGAAATTTTGTCTATTCATTTCTGGTTGTAAGCATTCAATGATTCTTTTCTTGTTTTATTCATCTTCCTGCTAAAATCAGTTAACACACATTAAAATATATATTTAAATTTAGGACAACCCTACAACCAGCTGGCAATATTGGAGGCGGCTCGGGGCAACAAGCTCTCCACTGTTTTCTACTACATACGCAGTCTGGCAGTGCGACATCCATTCCCTGTGGCTGCCACAAACCTGGAGAAGTTTTATGTCAAACTTACAAGAGATATGTACGTACTTCAGTCACCTGCTGTTATTAAATGCCTTTCATTTATTGTTCTGAACATACTGTCCTAGCCCTTCTTTCAGTCCATCTGTCACACCATAACCTCAAACCAGATACGATTTGTTGTCTAACATAGCCTCATACCAAAACGTTTTATGAAGACTGGGTGTCGTATATGCTATCAGATAAACACTGCAAGCGCTAATCTTCCAGCGCAAACTAATTGAGTAACCAGTCATTAATAATAATAAGCAGATATTATGCTGTTTGGTTAGAGATTATATGTACTGAAACATACCACTGTCATGAGGAAAATACAAACTTTCAGGATGGTATGGTAAGTGTAAGGTTAGTGTTGGACCTTGGTGAAATAAATTACTATTGGATAATACATCCAGCATGAATATGAAACTTGTCAGACGGTCATTTTTTTCACTGTAAATGTCCAAATTTCACCAAGTCTGCTACATGGAAGCCTTCTGTGACTATTACTGGTGCAGATTTGTGTCATGACAAGCCTGGATGAAGGGGATTACTGTTATTCATGTGGCTTGTGTGGTTCACCAAGTAAGACCTCCCTATGTAAGTTCAAAGTCACTGAGAAAAACCTGTGTAGAACAGTGGGTTGGCGTCACTGGAGGTTTATAATATGAGGAGCAAGACCTGCTGTAAAATAAACATGGATTTGATATCAAAACCATTGAAAAACTCATATTTAGTAATCCTAATAAAAATGCATTTCAAATGAAACATAGAATATGCCTTAATATGGTTGTAAAAAATACATTAATTTGTGATACAGTCTTCTTGAATGGAAAAAGAATTAGGACAATACAAAAAGGGTCTTTCTCAATAAGTAACCCTGAGAAAGCATGACCAATATTCTATACAAGTCATAATGAAGGATTAGGACATGTTGAAAAAAGATCAAATTCATTTTTTAAATGCATCTGAGGAGAGCACCGCACAGTGACCGAATGGTCCAGGAAGGACTCATAACGGTCCTGTGAGCGTCTGGTCAGTGCTACACTTTTACCTTATGCAGGGTATGATTGAATGTGCAGGCTACCTTCCACCTTCATCTGAGCCTTCTAAACATTTCTCTCTGCCTTAGCCAAGTTATGGCAATAAAGTCATCAGTTGAGCTAATAACATTAAGAAGCCAAGGACAGGTGACCACTTCCATGTTTGAAGAGGCATATTTTTCAAATACATGGTCCTCCTCTGCAAGAAACTATCACTCTGGATGAGGAACTTTACAGATTGCTCAAGGCTCCAAATGCAAGGATTAACATGGCACTGACGAGGACTTAGACTCCATGAACAAGCATGATCTGGACATTGGACTGTACATTAATTGGTTCAATTGGAGATTAGACGATCAGCCTGGATCTGCAGGATGTGTATCTACATGTTCCCATCCGTCCACAGGAAGTTTTTACGATTAGCAGTCAAAAATCACCGAAACAAATTCCTAGTGCTCCCATTAGCAGTTTTCGCAGTACATTCCTGCTTGCAAATCTTTCCAGATTTGCAGTAGTCGAGTTAAAGGACTAAATTGTACTGCATTATTCAACATTAGGGATCAAAGATGAATATACCAGGTCAATAGATAGGTGAGGTGAGCTGTCACTTGATTTGATCAGTTCATTGAACATGTGTCGGGTGGGATTGAAATATGGATTAGCATTTTATTTGCAGATTCAAAATTTGCTTATTATGGACTATAATCTTGACTGGTTTGATTTGTGTTCAGTTGTGTTTGCAAAGCGACATCTATCAAAAGATTGAGGAACAAGAAACAGAATATCATAACAAAGGATGTAAGATAAAGAGCTGCAGCCAGGCTGACACGTTTTTGTTGTTGATTTGTGTTTTCAAGACTTGCAAGGGTGATACTATCGGTCACCATTATATTATGTGCAGTAAAAAACTAAAAATTGCTGTGTATTTTCTACCTATATAGCATCAAATACACTTGTTTTCTGCATCGGGGCAAATCCTGCTGATTTCTGTGCAACTTTATCACCAAAGCTTATTCATTCTCTGTTATAGAATGTACAGGCTTGTGTAACTGTGATGCGGGACTGGTTGGGTGAGAGTTTTTTGTGTGTGAGATAGGGTTAGTATTATAAAACAATTTATTTTGTTATCTCATGGTGTGCATTTATCCTTCGGTTGGTTGGTGGAGCTGAAACTCAAGCCTGTAAAAGAGCTCAGTATGTTGTTCAGTATGTTGTTGTTTTTTAGGGAGCAAAGCGGCTCCTAACATGAATACTTTATGAGCCAAACCTAAGTTTTTAGGAGCCAACAGATATCTAAATGGATATGTCGCCAGTAATGTTTACTTTAAGGTAGCCAAGTGGCGAGCAGTAGATAAACAATTAGATATAAGTCGCATTTGGACACCAAAATGGTCGCTACTTCGATTGCTGAACTTTGAACATTAAGTCCATCTGAATTCCGACTGCGATCTTTTAACAAACATTGAGTCTCGTGTCAATCTACAATGGGGAATGTCGGTCCTCAGGAGAGGTATGTTGATCCCTCGATTAGGCATGTAGATCCCTGAGAGAGGTTTGTTGATCTTTTGGATTGGGATGTCGGAGTTGATCCTGGCTGCGACAATGATCCTCCAAAGTGTGGACAGTATGGCGATTCATTTTGGGGCTGTATGTGTGATCCTCTGAAGAACATCAAGGGTAATGTCGAATCCGATCTTGTCTATCCTCTGATAATCTAAGCATGTGATTAATCCTGTTTTGTTAATTTAAAGCAGTAATTGTTTATTGTTAAGCAAGTTTATCTCTGCTGCCGTTGTAATATGCAGCGGTTACATCCCATTAGTAAGACATCCCATTAGTAAGACATCCCATTAGTGAGACACCCATGGTAAGACAGTGGAGTAGGTGGGATTAATTAAACAAACACAGCCAGTCTACCCACTTAACAATGGTCACAGCCCATGATTAGCAGATTCATTAATAAGAAGAAGAAGAAGAAGAAGAAATGTTTATTTAAGTGTCACATATTGTACATAAAACACATTTTAAACAAAAGCAAGTTGCCATTAAAAGTACAATATCCAGCCTCTAGGGCTTATGAGACACTCTGAAAGCATTTAAAACATATAACATTATTAAATATAAAACACAAAATAAAAATATTATATACAATGTTAAAACTAGAAGAGATAAAACACTTCGATAATCCCTTCGCTTCACACATTTCACATAGTGGCTCACATTCACATCAAATTTGAAAAGTCTGAAAGTCCTTAGCTTGTTACCATTTGGTTTGTTCTCATCATCCCACACATGTTTACACCATGATTCACTATCTTTCTCTTTCAAGATATCCTTCAGTAAGTTCACTTTTTTCTTTTTATTGTCACTGTCACTGATAATCCCATCCACATTTAAGTCTCGTATCAGCACTTCAGTTCTTTTATCAAGAGATTTACTTTGATACATTGCCCACTTATGAATAATATTTGGAATTCTGCTATCTGGCATTGATTCACATCTGAAGAATTGTCTAAATAATTCTATCTTTTGATCCACATCACTGATCCACAATAAGAGTAGGCCAGTAATTCTGTTTGAATATTCTCAGGAAATAAATGAGTTAGGAGCTAGTAGGAGCTTACTCAAAAAGTTGAGATGCATGTTTTGTTAAAACTTACTTATTACACATATAAATTCCCCCTAGTCTGTGAACATTTCATGCACAATCATGGCAGGTTTGCAGCAGGTTGATTTCATTACCGGTCAAAGAGGTTCTCTCCAGGTCCTCTTTCAGGGATATCTCCACTACAAGAACAAAGTAAGACAAACTGGTACTCGATGGCGATGTACCGTTAAGACCTGCATTGGCAAATGTACAACAGTTGGAAATTTTGTTAGAAATTTCACTGTACACAACCACCCACCAGAAGACACCAGCAGAATCCAGTTCCTTGGCAGCTTAAGGAAGAGAGCAAGTGAAGAACCAACCACTCCTATGCCAGGCCTCTACAACGACGAGGTCTTGAGAAATGATCCGGAGGCTGCAGCTATATTTCCCTCCTTCAGCTCAGTCGGCAGCGCCATGTACAGACACCGCAGTCACACCATCCCGAAACTCCCTAAAACCAGAGCTGAAGTCGACATTGCAGCACCCTGGAGAGAGACCCATGATGGTGAGCGGTTTCTGCTTTTTGCCGGCGGTGAAGAAGACAAGATGCTGGTATTTGCGACTGATGATCAGCTTAGAGTCCTCCAGTCAGCTTCCATTGTCTACATGGATGGTACTTTCTCCACCTGCCCAGATCTTTGGAATCAGCTTTACATACTGCATGCACGGAAAGGAAGCATTATCTATCCCCTAGTCTAGGCATTGATGCCTGATCGTCTGACTACAACTTAGCAATGCCTCTTTGCTCAGTTGAAGGTCCACATCCAACAACTACTGAACCAACCATTCAACCCAGAGACATTGCAAGTTGCTGCCATTAGAGCCCTCCGGACAGTTTCAAGGTTCAGACATCAAGGGGTGTTTCTTCCACTTTACCCAGCCGGAAAACACAGGAGCTTGGTTTTGCTGTTGGATACAGAGATAACCAACCCTCTTGTGGAACATCACCAGACATTCGGCCCAAGGACCAACAACAACCTGGAGGGTTTCCACAGTCGCCTCAGTGCATCACTGAATCATCGTCATCCTAATCTCATCGAGATCATCAAGAAGATTGAGAAATCCGAGAAGACCAAGCTATCTCAGTTAGACCTAGGTGCAGCTCCACCAACAAGAAAGCGTGTGTACAAGGAGATTGACAATCGACTTTCCAGACTGAAGGATCAGCTATCCCAGGGTGTCAAGACACCACTCCAGTTCTTGGATGCTGTTGGCAAACTTCTGAAGATGGATTAAGGTTGTGTCAGTGTGACAACCTCGATGTGAACTGTGATGTGATCTGTGATATTAACTTTAACTGAACTCTAAGTGGCGAATATGTTAAAACAA